TAAATAAAAATTATAATTAAGGGTAATAAAATGAAGAAGAGTAAACCCATCACCCTGCACACATCTACAAATACAAACGCACTCATAGCAGTGTCCTCAGTCCCATTCACCCTCCTTCATAGGAGTGTGCTTACCCCCCTTCACCCCCATTCATAGCAGTGTCCTTACCCCCCTTCACCCTCCTTCATAGCAGTGTCCTTACCCCCTTCACCCCCCCTTCATAGCAGTGTCCTCATTCCCATTCACCCTCCTTCATAGCAGCGTCCTTACCCCCTTCACCCCCATTCATAGCAGTGTCCTTAGCCCCTTCAACCCCATTCATAGCAGTGTCCTCAGTCCCATTCACCCTCTTTCATAGCAGTGTCCTTACCCCCCTTCACCCCCATTCATAGCAGTGTCCTTACCCCCTTCACCCCCATTCATAGCAGTGTCCTTAGCCCCTTCAACCCCATTCATAGCAGTGTCCTCAGTCCCATTCACCCTCCTTCATAGCAGTGTCCTTACCCCCCTTCACCCCCATTCATAGCAGTGTCCTTACCCCCCTTCACCCTCCTTCATAGCAGTGTCCTTACCCCCCTTCACCCCCATTCATAGCAGTGTCCTTAGCCCCTTCACTCCCCTTCATAGCAGTGTCCTCATTCCCATTCACCCTCCTTCATAGCAGTGTCCTTACCCTCCTTCATAGCAGTGTCCTTACCCCATTCACCTCCATTCATAGCAGTGTCCTTACCCTCCTTCATAGCAGTGTCCTTACCCCATTCACCTCCATTCATAGCAGTGTCCTTACCCTCCTTCATAGCAGTGTCCTTACCCCCTTCACCTCCATTCATAGCAGTGTCCTTACCCCCTTCACTCCCCTTCATAGCAGTGTCCTTACCCCCCTTCACCCCCATTCATAGCAGTGTCCTTACCCCCTTCACCCCCCTTCATAGCAGTGTCCTCATTCCCATTCACCCTCCTTCATAGCAGTGTCCTTACCCCCCTTCAAACAACCCCATTCATAGCAGTGTCCTTACCCCCTTCACCCCCCTTCATAACAGTGTCCTCATTCCCATTCACCCTCCTTCATAGCAGTGTCCTTACCCCCTTCACCTCCATTCCTGCCCTGTGTAAGGTAGGACTGCGCATGTGGATGCAAACACTGCTGTGAAAGGGAAGGAGGGGGGAGGAAACTGTTATAAAGAAGAGGTGAATGGGGTAAGGACACTGCTATGAAGGAGGGTGAATGGGAATGAGGACACTGCTATGAAGGGGGGTGAAGGGGGTAAGGACACTGCTATGAATGGAGGTGAAGGGGGGTAAGGACACTGCTATGAAGGAGGGTGAATGGGAATGAGGACACTGCTATGAAGGGGGGTGAAGGGGGTAAGGACACTGCTATGAATGGAGGTGAAGGGGGTAAGGACACTGCTATGAAGGAGGGTGAATGGGAATGAGGACACTGCTATGAAGGGGGGTGAAGGGGGTAAGGACACTGCTATTAATGGAAGTGAAGGGGGTAAGGACACTGCTATGAAGGAGGGTAAGGACACTGCTATGAATGGAGGTGAATGGGGTAAGGACACTGCTATGAAGGAGGGTAAGGACACTGCTATGAATGGAGGTGAATGGGGTAAGAACACTGCTATTAATGGAGGTGAAGGGGGTAAGGACACTGCTATGAAGGAGGGTAAGGACACTGCTATGAATGGAGGTGAATGGGGTAAGGACACTGCTATGAATGGAGGTGAAGGGGAATGAGGACACTGCTATGAAGAGGGGTGAAGGGGGTAAGGACACTGCTATGAATGGGGTTGAAGGGGCTAAGGACACTGCTATGAATGGAGGTGAATGGGGTAAGGACACTGCTATGAATGGAGGTGAAGGGGAATGAGGACACTGCTATGAAGAGGGGTGAAGGGGGTAAGGACACTGCTATGAATGGGGTTGAAGGGGCTAAGGACACTGCTATGAAGGAGGGTGAAGGGGGGTAAGGACACTGCTATGAATGGGGGTGAAGGGGGGTAAGGACACTGCTATGAAGGAGGGTGAATGGGACTGAGGACACTGCTATGAAGGACGGTGAATGGGACTGAGGACACTGCTATGAATGGGGGTGAAGGGGCTAAGGACACTGCTATGAATGGGGGTGAAGGGGGTAAGGACACTGCTATGAATGGAGGTGAAGGGGGTAAGGACACTGCTATGAAGGAGGGTGAATGGGAATGAGGACACTGCTATGAGTGCGTTTGTATTTGTAGATGTGTGCAGGGTGATGGGTTTACTCTTCTTCATTTTATTACCCTTAATTATAATTTTTATTTATTTTTTTAAACCTATTTTTTTCATTTAACATAAGCTAAGAAGACCCCTATGTGATGGCATTGACCAGGTGACAGGTCCTCTTTATGAAGAAATTGGTGGTCTATTACACCCCTTCAATGTCTCTACTGTCCTCCTTTTACCATGAAACACACAAAAATTAATAAACATAAAATGTTATGAAGAAAAAGATAATATAGGCTGTTAAAGTGACAAATACTTTTTTCACATTTGTGTCCATTTATCAGCTTATAATATAACATTTTAGCAGAGAATTTATTAAAACCATGAACCAAATGCAAGAGATTTACATCCATTAAGAAAAAAAGTCTGACCTTTCTAGGTAGGGAAGTCAGAGAATTATAGAGAAGTTAACCGCCACATACAGACACGGCTACAATTGGCCCGGGCATGTAGGCATCGGTGACCCTCGGCCACGAAAGGGTTAATAAATAATTACCATTTCACAACCGTTCCTCAGTCCAGTGATAATTCATTACCGCCAATTCTTAGCCCTTCTCTGTGATTAGTGAATCTCGCACCAAAATCCCGGATGATCTGCTCTGCGGCTGCTGGAAGTCATTGAAGCCATTAATTTTTTTAATTTTGTTACTGCCCGCGCCCATACATCATACTCACATCCTATATATTTCAGACGTGTGACTCTAATAGAATAGATGCTCATGCCCACTTCACAATTTTCATTTTTTATGCCTCGTAATCTGGAAATAAATTGTAGAGAACCTTTTGCTTAATTATGGGATATTTTTTTCTTCTCCCCGAATGTTCTTGTAAGGCCAGCCTCCAGCCAAAACATCTCTTTAACGTGCTTGTAAATCCTTCCCTTGTAAACACTCTATTGTGTGGTGCTTCCCCCTAGAGAAGCTACTGGTTGATTGGGTCCTTCTGTTTCTGGAGGTGATGACCCACTCTGGCTGGAGCTGATGATGCACTTTGGCTGGAGGTGAAGACCCACTCTGGTTGGTGGTGATGACCCACTCTGGCTTGAGCTGATGACCCGCTCTGGTTGGAGGGTGATGACCCGCTCTGGTTGGAGGTGATGACCCGCTCTGGTTGGAGGTGATGACCCGCTCTGGTTGGAGGTGATGACCCGCTCTGGTTGGAGATGATGACCCGCTCTGGTTGGAGAAGATGGCCCGCTCTGGTTGGAGAAGATGGCCCGCTCTGGTTGGAGAAGATGGCCCGCTCTGGTTGGAGGTGAATACCCACTCTGGTTGGAGGTGATGACTCGCTCTGGTTGGAGGTGATGACTCGCTCTGGTTGGAGGTGATGACTCGCTCTGGTTGGAGGTGATGACACGCTCTGGATGGAGGTGATGACACGCTCTGGATGGAGGTGATGACACGCTCTGGATGGAGGTGATGACACGCTCTGGATGGAGGTGATGACAAGCTCTGATTGAAGGTGATGACCCGCTCTGGTTGGGGGTGATGACCCGCTCTGGTTGGAGAAGATGGCCCGCTCTGGTTGGAGAAGATGGCCCGCTCTGGTTGGAGAAGATGGCCCGCTCTGGTTGGAGAAGATGGCTCGCTCTGGTTGGAGGTGAATACCCACTCTGGGGGTACCTGAAGTCACAACATACCTGGGATTTAAATGGTGAGGTTTAAGTAAATCTTTGTAATACTTGAACTCATGACACACCTGGGGTTAAAATGGATCCAGCAGTACCAGAATTGTATTGCTGCCAGATGCCTGAAGCCAAAGATTTAAGATCACAGAGTAGGAACCAAGTACAGAAACACTGTTGTACTGGAGCAGGTTACAGAAACTAGGTTGAGGCCCTCACCGAGGGCGGGAGTTGGTCAGGCAGTGGAGTACCAGATCAGAGTTCGGGAAAAAACTGAGGTTAGGAATAACCGAGCAGTATAGTTCCCAATCAAGAAACAAAAAGAGAGTCCAGGAAGCAAGCCAGGCAAAAAGAACCCAGCCACTGCTGGTCTTTCTGCTTCTTCTTCTGGAGGCAGGGGTGGACTGACAATTCATGGGACCCCCGGGCAATAGGGGATCATGGGGCCCCTGTGTCCTTTCCCACACTCAAAGCACACCCAAAAAAGTCTATCAAAAGGTACCAGGGGCATTTCACGGGGCCCTCTACTGACCCTGGGCCTCGGGCAGTACCCGAGTGCTCGAATGGTCAGTCTGCCCCTGTCTGGAGGTGATCATCCACTCGGGTAGTACCTGAATTCACAACACACCTGATACACACAAGTAGAGATGAGCAAATTATTCAAAAATTCGATTCGGCTGATTCGCCGAATTTGCGGAATAAATTTGATTCGATGCGAATTTATTCGCTGCGAATTTAACTTATTAAAAGGGTTTCTAGGCTTCAGAGAGCCTTTATATTAGTGCAGAACACTGTACCTTTAATTTAAATGCCCTTGGAGTCTGCTGGGGAAGAGAAATAATACTGTCAGTCAGTATGACATGCAGATGAGTGCCGTCGATCTTAGAATCACCGCACACTTCACTCATTTGGGCAGTCACGGGGCCAAAACCAGAATGTGGAGCCACAGTGTGGCGGTGGAGGCAGCAGCAATGGGAGGCCATACAGCACCCTATGACAAAAATGGAAACCACCAGCAGTGTGAGGAGACCTGAAAGTGGCACATGGCAGAGTGTGGCGATGGAGACAGCAGCAATGGGAGGCCGTACAGGGACCCATGACACACTCTGGACCTGGCAGCAGCATGAGGAGGCGGTACAGGGGCCCATGACAGATTACGGGCCTGGCAGCAGCAAGAGGAGGCGGTACAGGGGCCCATGACAGATTACGGGCCTGGCAGCAGCATGAGGAGGCGGTACAGGGGCCCATGGCAGAATGGCGAAGCGTAAGCAGCTTAAATTGAAGGCCATACAGAGGCCTATGTTAAAAAGTCCCCCAGCAGCAGCGTGGGGAGACGACTATCAAGAGTCCAATGGCAGAGTGGCGGAGCAGAAGCAGCTTCAATAGAGGAAGAGGAAGAGGAAGAAGATGAGGAGGATGAAGAAGAAGAAGAAGAAGAAGAAGAGGATGAGGAAGAGGAAGAAGAAGAAGAAGAGGATGAGGATGAAGAAGAGGATGAGGATGAAGAAGAAGAAGAAGAAGAGGATGATGGTGAGGAAGAAGAAGAAGAAGAGGATGAGGATGATGATGAAGAAGAAGAAGAAGAAGAAGAAGAAGAAGAAGAAGAAGAGGAGGATGAGGATGAAGAAGAAGAGGATGAGGATGAAGAAGAAGAAGAGGATGAGGATGAAGAAGAAGAGGATGAGGATGAAGAAGAAGAGAATGAGGATGAAGAAGAGGATGAGGATGAAGAAGAAGAGAATGAGGATGAAGAAGAGGATGAGGATGAAGAAGAAGAAGAAGAGGATGAGGATGAAGAAGAAGAAGAAGAAGAAGAAGAGGATGAGGATGAGGAAGAAGAAGAAGAGGATGAGGATGAGGATGAAGAAGAAGAAGAAGTAGGATGAAAATAAGAAGAATTCCATTCCAGCAAAAAGTGTATCTGCAGAGAGCTCCGCTATTTCTGACAGTTCTCTGACAGTTCCTTCACATTTACAGCGGTTGAAACATTGTATCTATTTATTTCCGAATAAAAACATCTGTATCCTAAATGGAAACAAATAGATACAATGTTTCAACCGCTGTAAATGTGAAGGAACTGTCAGAGAACTGTCAGAAATAGCGCAGCTCTCTGCAGGGACACTTTTTGCCGGCTGTAGAAGGGATGAAAATCGGCCGATCTGGGAAAATTCGATTCGCGCATCCGAAGTTTGCTAATTTTCGGATTCGGTGCGAATCGAATTTTTCCTAATATTCGAAACGAATTCCACTTCGCCAAGTTCGATTCGCTCATCTCTACACACAAGAACATGAGCACTGTGGTGCCAGAGCAGATTACAGGGTTGAGGCACTCCCCAATGGTGGGCACTCAGGTAACAGATCAGAGTCTGGGCACAAAACTGAGGGCAGATACAGCTAAACAGCGTAGTACCAGTGTCAGGACCCAGGTCTGAACCTGCAACCTCTGCTGTGTCTGGTGGTGTCTGTTCTTGCTGAGTGACCTGTGATGCTGGTTTCTCTAGAACCCTATGCTCCTCCCATGAACTTCCTATATACAGTTGTGTCCAAAATTATTCAACCCCCAATGCTGTAAAGGGGTTTAGGGACTATAGTGTACATTTGGAATTGTATTCAGAATCAAATCCTACAAGGACGTTGTAACTACCCAAATGCAACTAAAATGACATCAATTGTTTATGTAATACAGTAGTAAATGGTTCTTATGTGGTTTCTTCATTGCCACAATTATTCAACCCCTTAAAGACTACCACTCTGAAGAACAGAGGTTCATACAGGTGCTTTCCATCAGGTATTGAAAACACCTGTGGATGTCACCCGAGCAGCAATCAAGCATAATAAGCACCAATTAGGCAGCTTTAAAAATGACTGTGATACTCAGCTCCTTCTAGACATTTACTGGTGTGGTTACAAACATGGTGAAGGCAAGAGAATGGTCCAGGAAGACAAGAGAAGAGGTGATTTCTCTTCACAGGAAGGGCAATGGCTATAAGAAGATTGCAAAGATGTTAAACATACCAAGAGACACCTTAGGAAGCATCATTCGCAAATTCAAGGCAAAGGGCACTGTTGAAACGCTACCTGGTCGTGGCAGAAAGAAGATGCTGACTTCGACTGCTGTGCGCTACCTGAAGCGTAGAGTGGAGAGAAGTCCCCGTGTGACTGCTGAGGAACTGAGAAAAGATTTGTCAGATGTGGGTACAGAAGTTTCAGCCCAGACAATAAGACGCACACTGCGTAATGAAGGCCTCCGTGCCAGAACTCCCAGGCGTACCCCCTTGCTGTCTCCAAAGAATAAGAAGAGTCGACTGCAGTATGCAAAAGCCATGTGGACAAACCACAAAAGTTGTGGGATAGTGTTCTGTGGACTGATGAAACAAAATTAGAACTGTTTGGGCCCATGGATCAACGCTATGTTTGGAGGAGGAAGAACAAGGCCTATGATGAAAAGAACACCTTGCCTACTGTGAAGCATGGTGGAGGGTCAATCATGCTTTGGGGCTGTTTTGCTTCTGCAGGTACAGGGAAGCTTCAGCGTGTGCAAGGTACCATGAATTCTCTTCAGTACCAGGAGATATTGGATGGAAACGTGATGCAGTCCGTCACACACCTGAGGCTTGGGAGACGTTGGACCTTTCAACAGGACAATGATCCCAAGCATACCTCCAAGTCCACTAGAGCATGGTTGCAGAGGAAAGGCTGGAACATTTTGGAGTGGCCATCGCAGTCACCAGACTTAAATCCGATTGAGAACCTCTGGTGGGACTTAAAGAAAGCAGTTGCAGTGCGCAAGCCTAAGAATGTGACTGAACTGGAGGCCTTTGCCCATGAAGAATGGGCGAAGATACCCGTAGATCGCTGCAAGACACTTGTGTCAAGCTATGCTTCACGTTTAAAAGCTGTTATAACTGTAAAAGGATGCTGTACTAAGTACTAAGATTGAATGTCACTTGGGGGTTGAATAAAACTGATAATGCTGTGAGCACAGAAAAAAGACATTTGTGGTTATTTCATTATAACTGTTATGTTATATTTGTCTGACCTACAAGTGCCTCTTTAATGTAAATGTAAGCAAGATGACTGAATGATCAAAAGCAATGTCAAACTGGCCAAAACACTCAATTTCAGTGGGGGTTGAATAATTTTGGACACAACTGTAAGCCATCCCTTTGAACTTCCTGTTTGCTAGGTTATTGTACTCTCTTCATCCGGAATTTCACTCTTGTCACTCTTGCTGCCGTACGTATCTTCGCTACCACTGATCACTGACCTTTGGCCTGTTCCTCAACTATGCTTCAACTTGATCCCAACCTCCAACCACTTTTTAGTGACCTTTGGCTTGTTTGCTAATTATACTTCTGCTTTATCCTTATCTGCTTTTACTACTACTAGACCCCGAGTTGCTCTACTCCTGGTGAGGCGACCCTGAGGACCACAGCTTGGTTCTAACATGCAGCAAAACCCATCTCCACAATCAGGAGTTCTGGTTTACACTGGTCAGTGCTTAGTCTCTGTGCCTCAGGTGAGACTGTGTGCCATTTGACCTGAGTGACTCGCTTGTGTATTTATCTGAGTCTCTGAGCCTGACCCCTGACTGTGACAACCAGATCAAGAAACGAGTCCAAGAGGCAAGCCAAACAGCCAGACAACCAAAGTACTTGGACAAAAGCAGTCCAGAAGGTAGGCCAAGGTCACAACAAAGAGGTAAAGGTCCAGAGCTTGGTCAAAAGGCAAGTCAGGTCATACATTGTAAAGCAGAATCATCAGATCAGGTAGTGGGTAAACAGAAACAAGATGAAGACCACTCAGCAACTTCTTTTTGCAGTGCTGGTCTTTCTGCTTCTTCTTCTGGAGGCAAGGGCGGACTGAAAATTCATGGGACCCCCAGGCAATAGGGAAGCATGGGGCCCCTGTGTCCTTGCCCACACTCAAAGCACACCCAAAAAAGCCTAAAAGAGGTACCAGGGGCATTTCATGGGGCCCTCTACTGACCCTGGGCCCTCGGGCATCAGATCAGGTAGCGGGTAAACAGAAACAAGATGAAGACCACTCAGCAACTTCTTTATGCAGTGCTGGGCGCCAAAACCAGTGCTCAGCACTGGTGTACAACCTAAAAATAAGTGTGTAATATCTCCAGTGACCAGGGAGCAGTGATGTAGCAGCTTTTGTAGACATGGGCCCTGGAAATCTATGTATGGTTTGGCTTCTTTTATAAGGCTCTCTTTCTTTAATAGTACTGTGGTGATGGGTCTTTTTTTGGTCACCTGCTTTCCCGGAATTTCGAGGTTCTTTAATGACACTTCCTGATAGGGTTGAATCCTGACCCACCACCTCTGCACCCAAAATACTATTACTGGTCCATTACTTTTATGGTCAGTATTACAGCCAACAGGAAGGTGTTTGAGGCTTTGAGACCACCGGCAACTACAATAATGTATCCTAGGATTCGACTTACTTTAAAGGAAAGAAAGTTAATAAAACCTGCATAAATATTCATTACAATATAATATATAACATTGTATCTACCTCCCTCTCTACCAGTATAGGAAATATTGAAAAGGGCTGTTTATTGCCTGGGGGAATATAAAAGACTCCGACATTCCATTTAGTGTTATTAGTAAATTAGTTTTCACATAATTGGTTTAGCAGCATTAAATTATTGATTTTATGTCACAAGATCCTTCCTTCCACATACGGTATCACAAAGTAAATATGACAATGCCTTACAGCATCATCTCAATGTTTGAATTGTTAATTCTGGTCCACTTTCCATTATCTGATGCTTCAAAAATGTTGAAAGGGGCAAGAAACCTGTGCCCTCGTCAAGGCACCAGTGTAGGGCTGATGGCCTCAAGGCTCTTCCACATCTCTGGTGCCTCAAGAGGTTTGGTAACTAATTGGGAGCAGACAATGGAAGACTATTTCTAGCCTTTGATCTGGTGCACATAATATTCACAACCAGCTCTGCAATGAGGATCTGCTGCAGAGGCATTGTCTTCTCAACCTAGGATCATCTAAGGAAGTGTCTTCTCAACCTAGGATCATCTAAGGAAGTGTCTTCTCAACCTAGGATCATCTAAGGAAGACACAAAAAAGGCAAAGACGAGAGATGAACAAATAATGAACAGTCTGCATGGCCTATTAAGGAACTAATAAAATGACTAAAGGACCACCTACCAGTTTACCAACTGCAGAGGGCACAGTGGGTACCCCATAGAAACACAAGCTCCTGTCCAACGGCTTGACCTCCAGTCAACCAGTGAAAACCAATGGAGATACTGCTTTTATTTGTTGCTGGGGGCTATGGGACAAGCTTGTGACCCCTTTTATGACATAGCTTGTAGGCAGGTAATGCTGTGGTTGGGAAGGTTGTGGTCAATGTGTTTCCTGGCTTTTTCTTGGTGGGTTTTCTTTGGTAGGACAGGAGCGGTGGTAGAGACTCTAGCCAACCACGAAGCCCCTCTTACAGTGTGTATAATTCTGTGTATGAGGGACAAGGATATCAATTAACCAAGAAAGTGTAAATTAATCTTTCATCAACATATTATTGCATGACAAGAATAAACATAATTTATACTAATGTATTCAGTTGCCAGTTGCACAAAGCGTGGTCGGCTGCAATCAGATCACGGTGCAGCATTCATATGTACCTCACTCAGCAGTGTGCAGCAGATTGGTAACAATATCAGCAGCTGGTGTGATTGCTCATTTCGGAGCGCAATACTTCGTTGTTTCTGTCACTCAACTGCAACGTTCTGCCACTCACCTACAACGTTCTGCCATACTGAAGCTGTCAAAGCAACACTTTGGATTAAACCAACAAACAACGGAATAGTGTTGCAAAT